TAAATTCTTCATTTTTCAAAAGAAAAAGCAAAATAAAAAGACAAAAAGGCTAAAAAACAAAAAATTAATCGTAAAAAAAGGAGAAATGTTGGTTAGCTTTAATGAAACTTAGGGATTGTTTGGTTGGGAGATTCATACTCTGATTTGAATCATGGTTCATGGTTCGTTACAGTGTTTTTTCTCACAAAAAATACACGTAAATCGAAAATAGTTCTAATCTCATGGTTCTAATCCATTAACCAAACGTCTCCTTATTCTTCCTTTTATAAAGATTTAAGGCTACATTTAAGAGACGTTTGTTTTATAGATTAGAATCATTTTTTATTTACGTGTATTTTTTGTGAAAGAAAACACTGTAGCGAACTATGAACCATGCTTCGAATCAGGGTACGAATCCTCTTACCAAACACCCCCTTAGTTTGATAGAATGAACATTAGAATGGAATAATAATTCTTCAAATCAAGTCATTCTTACAAAAAGACATATGAATTACTATTTTTGTGGAATAGCATTGCTATTCCATAAAATAGTTGAATAATAATTATTGAAGTTTAAATGATCATTATATTCTAAAACTAATATTTATTAAAATTCTCTCTCTCCAAATTATCTTTCCTAATGTTCTAAAATTACTTTAAATACCCTTTTTACCATCCTAATTTTAAAAAAATTTAGCCCATATATTATTCTATTTTATTCTAATGACAAAACAAACGTAATAATTGTAATTTCAATACCTATTCCAATGCTCAACCAAACTATGAAATTTAAATAAATAATTTAATATAGTTTTATTCTCATTCTATTATATTTCTATTCATATATTTTTCCTATTTCATTCCATTCCATCAAATCAAACATGACTTAAATGTAAATGTAAAAGATATTTCACCTAAGAAATAAGACCCACCATTATCCCCCATTAGAAACTTTTTGTTTGATTTGGAAACCAGAAACGCACTCAATAATTGGATTAAATAATGGGCTCCTTCAATTCGCCGATTTAAATTTTCAATTCGAGTTAAGATGTGACTTTTTATTAGAGCTTTTAACTGTAACAAAAAAAAGTTAGATGTGACTTTATGCCCATTAAGTGCCATTTCCTCTTATTGTGTAATTCTCGCTGATAAAATAAGTTTTCAATTTTATTTTTTTAAAAGGTTTTTTTTAGAAGAAAATGTCTTATTATTCATCGAAGAACCAAAAATTTGTTCATTGTTGTACGAATCAAACCATTCTATTCAATTCAAATATTTCAATAGATTTTAACAAATTGGAAAAATATTTAACGGAAAAAAGATCATAAATTGAGTGCCAATTTTGCATGTGTCTTGAAAACATGACAAATTTGGTGGCCTTTCTAGAATAGTTAAGGGTATTATTTGGTTTAGGTTTGCCAACCAATTAAATTGCCTATCGGTTTTTCAAAATCAAACACCATAATCGGCTAACTAAGGCTGTGTTTGGTATTACTTTTCACTCTCAAAATCAGTATCTGTTTGTAGCAAAAGTTAATTTTAGTATTTGGTAAATCTCTTTTAAAAGTCTTTTTGAAGAATTTTTGAAAAATTTACAGTCAAAATCAAAAGTACCCAAATACAACTTTAACTTTTAGATTGTGCGAGAATCAACATAGTACAATTAATGAAACTTTCATAATATCCATAATACTCTTAATGAAATTTAAAATTTACAATCTTCTCAATCTAAAATTCAGACTCATAATATAATATAATATAATATAATAATATAAAATAAAATAATATAATGTAATAGTAATATTATAATAAATAATATCATAATTATATTAATAACTCTAATATTATTATTTTATCATATAACATGATATTATAATAATATTATAATTATTTTTATAATATGATATTATAATTATAATATAATTATAATATGATATTATAATTATTATTTTATAATAATATTATATATTATATTGTATTAATATAACTATGTTTATTATATTAATACTAATGTAATAATTAATATAATTAAATATTAATATAATCTTATAATTCTAATATTATTATTTATTATAGTGTATTACACAACATTATGGTTATATAATATATTAATTATAATATATTTGTTTAATATAATATAATAATGATAATATAATATAATATATTATAATATGATA